TCAAAGAGTATCTCAAAATGGGTTTATTCAATTTCCCATTGGAAAATATGAGTATAGGTACTGATATATAGATTCATATATACATAAAGGATAGATCCCAAGTGTATATATACACATACTTAGATATAAATATATCATGTATATTTATGTATGCATATGAATTTATGTATCTGTACACAATACAGAAGAATTTGTAGTATCTTATGGTAGGCATGTCCTTTCTAAAGAGACAGGCAGAAAACACAGAAGCCATGAAGTTTAATTATATTAAAAACTTAGATAGTTATATTTAAGAACTTTAGCATGGTAAAAGATACTACCGAGTTAACATATATATAAGAAATAAGGAATACTTTCAACTTATAAAATAAAATCCATGATATGAAGAATTTCTACAAATTACATGAAAAATTATAAAATAGCAAAAGGATACAAGTAATAAAGAAAAGAAAATTAGCAACAAACATTAAAAGATGTTCAAGCTTACAATAACCATCTAATAATTTTTATTAGATGGAAAATGACTGTTAAATCCCAATTCAAAATGAACAAAACTATTTTGCAGCAACAAAATATACATTGGAATAATTATGCAGAATGGTCAAAAGTCTAGAATCATTTTAACTTTTAAAATAATCAACCAACCTGAGCAACTTTCATTGAATTCTGGGTAGAGCCACCAGCATGATATTCAACTTTGAATTTTTTTACAAGTTCATCAAACCTGTAAGGAAATCACAGTAGAAAAAAGTAAGTTAGCATCTGTTAGTTGTCACAATGCAAGTTTTTCTGGTTAGAAGCACATTAAAACACAATTAGTGGAATTTTTAAATTGTATAATTATTGTGAATAAATGACTTAAATATTGTATAATAAATATGCTAAATTTCACATATTTAAGAAACTTTTCCCATAAGTATACAACCAAAAGAATTAAAGTATATAGACTGTCCATATTCAACCATAAGACTATACAGAAAGTAAAAATACAAATTAATAAATTGCCAAATGCAAGTCACATATAGCAAATTGGTGAAGTCAAAATCAGAAACCCAGTCTCATAATTACTTGTTAACTACAAACATGCAGAAATCAGTATACATTTCTCCTCATTTCAGATAACTCAAGAGTTTTCTATACAACCAAAATTTCACATATTAATGTTACCCTTGGAATCAGTTCAAGATATATAAAAATTATAGGCCCTTACACTTAAAGATGGATGAAAAAGCATTATGTTCACTTCCTCTTCCATGTCTTACTGAATATCAAAAAATGTTTTATATATAAAAAATGAATAGAAGTATAAAAGCACTGCAAAGTAAATAAAGAAAGGTAACATAAGCAGACCGCAACTTTGAGAAATAACAAGTTCTAGTTTAACAGAAAGCAAATGTAGTAGAACTGACAAAACACTGATAGGAGACACACTAATGAGGGAAATTACTTTGAACATTGTATTTGCCCAACCATTTCTATCTTATTCAAAGGAATAAAATGTTTAAGTGTGCCAGCTATCCATAGTAAGCCCTCCTTACTTGGGCAATTGTATAGATTCCTAGCTATTACCTGCCTCATTTTTTTGTCTTTCTTTTCATCTTTTTTTTTTTGGAGCAGAGGAGACTAACAGCTTTATTAATATATAATTCACATACCACGTTTCTCCGAAAATAAGACACAGTCTTATATTTATTTTTCCTCAACAAGACACCCTAGGGCTTATTTTCAGGGGATGTGTTATTTGTTTTAAGCACGGTACAATAATCTACATTTATTCAAATATAGTTAAGTCGTCTTCTTCTGGAACATCATCATAACTCCACAAACCCCAAATTCCATCCTGAATTTCTTGCGACTCTATTTCCTTTAGAACCATTGGCCCCGATCTCTCATGTCAAGCAATAGAGCTCTCATGGGGCAGATGAGAAGGGCTGCTCATCTTCTTTAGCACTCCACGACGAAATGCATGGGTTGTGCAGACAGGCTGCATAGCCACACCCATCACTAGGTCTTATTTTCGGGGTAGGGCTTATATTGCGCAAATGCTTAGAAATCCTGCTAGGGCTTATTTTATGGGGAGGTCTTATTTTTGGGGAAACACAGTACTATAAAATTCCCCTATTTAAAATGTATAAGCCAACTGGTATTTGGTTACTAAATTCTTTCATTTACCGTTATTTTCAAGGTTCATCCATGTTGTAGCATGTTTCAGTACTTTATTGCTTTTTATGGCCACATAATATTCCATTATATGTATATACCATATTTTGTTTATCCATTCATCTTTCAGTGGACACTTGGGTTGCTTCTTTTGTCTATTATGAATAATTCTACTATGAATATTCATGTAAAAGTTTTTGTGCGGACATAATGTTTTTATTTCTCTTGGGTGTGTATGTATTAGAATTGCTGGGTCACATACCTCCAATGTTTACCTTTCTGAGGAACTTCCACACTATTATCAATGTCCTGCCTAGTTTTAACACAGAGACAATATAGGGAAACCTGCCTAATTATATGAAAAGAAGCAACTAGAGAATAATAGAATTTCTTTGCATTAACTTAACACTACTGAAATTTAAAAAAATAAATAAATCACTAGTTGCATGGATGATCTTAGCAGTAAAAGTATGCATGGATAACAACTAAAACGAGGCCAGGTGTGGTGGCTCACTCTTATAATCCTAGCACTCTGGGAGGCCAAGGCAAGAGGATTGTTTAAGCTCAGGAGTTCAAGACTAACTTGAGCCCTGAGCAAGAGTGAGACCCTACCTCTACTAAAAACAGAAAATTAGCCAGGCATGGTGGTGCAAGCCTGCAGTCTCAAGAACTTAGGAGGCAGAGGTAGGAGGAATGTTTGAGCTCATGAGTTTGAGGTTGCTGTGAGCTAGACTTATGCCATGGCACTCTAGCCTCCACCCTTCTACCCCCACCAAGAAAAAAAAAAAAAATAGGAAAGTTGGATTTAAAAATACCAAAGAAGTATTAATATACAGGAAATATAGAAGATGGAAAATTTGAAAGAAAAACTAAAAGGTGTGGAGAATTGATCACGAACCCCAAGATCTATTTAAGAGAAAATACAGAGAGGGAAAATAGAGATAATAAAGAGTAAAAAAGAAAGAATAGGAAAGAAATTTTTCAAACAAGATGAAACATATAATCTTCAGGTTTTTCCAGACACCAAGAAGCTTTACTAGTGATTGGGACTCATGCCTAGACACATCTTATTAAATCTCTAATATTAAGAGAAAACCCTAAAAGCTTATGAAGTAATAAATAATAAATTACCTAAAAAGAAATAAGAATCAGACTAATACCAGATTTATTTTAAAAATACAGGATGCTAAAAAATAATGGAGTAGTGTATTCTATGCTAGCAGTAAAAAAAATATTTTGAAGCTAGAAATCAATATCCACTCAAATTATTAACTTAATAGTAAGGAAAAACAATATTTCCCAATCCTTTAAGCTATGTGAGAAATAAAAATAACTGAGAAAGTATGCCAACAACAATAACAAAAAAAAACAGAAGAAAAATGGCATGTGGTTAAAAAATGAGAGCAATGTATGACTTTGAAAAGGGAAGCCAGAAAGAAATTAAAGTGTTCATTATATACTACTAAATGCAAAATTCTTCTTTTCATGGAAAAGAGTCTGTAAGTATCTCTAATGTTAATAATCAATTTCATAAACAGAGGTTTTAACTGTTATTTAAGTGATAAACTGTTAGAAGAGTTAAAATATATCAGATAAATAAAATGTCTTCCAGAATAGAGTCAATAGAAATTGTATAAATTGTATAAATCTGTTAATTCAAGTAATAGGGCATAACTATATTATTTAGATTTATAATGGTAAACTAAAAACATTAACTCTTATTTACATCTCTATGGAGTAGGTACAGAGGATGTTATTTTTATTGGTGTTGTTTAGTTCTGTTTTTTATAAATTTCTTGAGAGAATGTAAAATAAATGTGCAGTTTTTAAAAAGTGAACACTTGTGTAACCACCACTCAGGTTAAGAAATAGAACACTAAAGTGATTTATAAACTTTCCTGTCCTACAACACATACATATACACTTGACTATTTCTGTGGACTGTAGATTCTGACCTATTGATGCAGACATCTATCCCTACACACTCTACCATGTCTTAATTACTATTGCATTGTAAGTCTTAAATAACAAGTGTCCTTACCTTGTTCTTCTTAATGAGTGCTCTGACTATTCTTGGTTCCTTGCATTTCCATATAAATTTACAACTAGTTGTCAAACTCCAAAAACACCTTATCAAATGGGCATTTATTGAAACCTTAAAATCTGTACCCCCATAATATGCCGAAATAAAAAAAAAGAAAAAAAGAAAAAAAAAAACAACTTATCAGGATTTTGATGGGGATTGTGGGCACTACTTCTATATATCTACACTGGGAAAGCGGTATCCTTCCAATATTACATCATCTAATACATAGTCACAGTATATACCACAGTATATTTATTTAGGTTTTCCTTAAATATCTCTCAATAAAGTTTCATAATGTTTGCCATAAAGCCTGTATATCTCTTCTTAGGGTCACTACTTCATATTTTCTATATTTTAACTATTTTAAGCAATATTTTTTAAACTTAATTTTTAATTGCTGCTGGTATTTAGAAACATACTTCTTCATATCAATTTTTTCCAGCCAAGTTTCTAATATCTAATTAATCCCAATGAATTATCTGTGTTCTTGCCATATATAATCATCATTTGTGAATAATGACAATTTTTTTCCTCCCCTTTTCTCGTCTTAGTGCAGAGACTAGTACTCCCAGCACAACATGCTTAGAAAATAAATAACAGTGGTTGGTAATGGGCAAATTTAGTTTTGTTCTAAATTTTCGTCTGATAAATCCTGATGAATGGCAGGGCAGGTCCAAACTAAAAGTCTTAGAAGTGTTTAATTTTTCACCTTGATTTACTGTTGTATGTATTGCTTTTACTAAAGAGTTAAACTTTTTTGGGTCTCAAAATGGAGGTAAAACCGCCATCCGGTCGCCCCCAGCCCGACTCTGGCCGCCGCCACCGCCAGGGGGAGGAGGGCCATGATCCAAAGGAACCAGAGCAGTTGAGAAAACTGTTTATTGATGGTCTGAGTTTTGAAACTACAGATGATAGCTTAAGAGAACATTTTGAGAAATGGGGCACACTCACAGATTGTGTGGTAATGAGAGACCCCCAAACAAAACGTTCTAGGGGCTTTGGTTTTGTGACTTACTCTTGTGTTGAAGAGGTGGATGCAGCAATGTGTGCTTGACCACACAAGGGTGATGGGCGTGTTGTGGAACCAAAGAGAGCTGTTTCTAGAGAGGATTCTGTAAAGCCTGGTGCCCATCTAACAGTGAAGAAAATTTTTGTTGGTGGTATTAAAGAAGATACAGAAGAATATAATTTGAGAGACTACTTTGAAAAGTATGGAAAGATTGAAACCATAGAAGTTATAGAAGACAGGCAGAGTGGAAAAAAGAGAGGATTTGCTTTTGTAACTTTCGATGATCATGATACTGTTGATAAAATTGTTCAGAAATACCACACTATTAATGGGCATAATTGTGAAGTGAAAAAGGCCCTTTCAAAACAAGAGATGCAGTCTGCTGGATCGCAAAGAGGTCGGGGACGTGGATCTGGCAACTTTATGGGTCGTGGAGGAAACTTTGGAGGTGGTGGAGGTAATTTTGGCCGTCGTGGAAACTTTGGTGGAAGAGGAGGCTATGGTGGTGGAGGTGGTGGCAGCAGAGGTAGTTATGGAGGAGGTGATGGTGGATACAATGGATTTGGAGGTGATGGTGGCAACTATGGCGGTGGTCCTGGTTATAGTAGTAGAGGGGGCTATGGTGGTGGACCAGGATATGGAAACCAAGGTGGTGGATATGGCGGTGGTGGAGGAGGATATGATGGTTACAATGAAGGAGGAAATTTTGGAGGTGGTAACTATGGTGGTGGTGGGAACTATAATGATTTTGGAAATTATAGTGGACAACAGCAATCAAATTATGGACCCATGAAAGGGGGCAGTTTTGGTGGAAGAAGCTCGGGCAGTCCATATGGTGGTGGTTATGGATCTGTGGTGGATATGGTAGCAGAAGGTTCTAAAAACAGCAGAAAAGGGCTACAGTTCTTAGCAGGAGAGCGAGGAGTTGTCAGGAAAGCTGCAGGTTACTTTGAGACAGTCGTCCCAAATGCATTAGAGGATCTGTAAAAATCTGCCACAGAAGGAACGATGATCCATAGTCAGAAAAGTTACTGCAGTTTAAACAGGAAACCCTTCTTGTTCAGGACTGTCATAGCCACAGTTTGCAAAAAGTGCAGCTATCGATTAATGCAATGTAGTGTCAATTAGATGTACATTCCTGAGGTCTTTTATCTGTTGTAGCTTTGTCTTTTTCTTTTTCTTTTCATTACATCAGGTATATTGCCCTGTAAATTGTGGTAGTGGTACCAGGAATAAAAAATTAAGGAATTTTTAACTTTTCAATATTTGTGTAGTTCAGTTTTTCTACGTTTTAGTACAGAAACTTTAACAAAATGCAGTTTTGAAGGTGTTTCCTTGTGAGTTAACAAGTAAAGAAGATCATTGTTAATTACTATTTTGTATGAATTTTGCTAAAGTTAACTGTAAAGAAACACCTGCTGACTTGCAATTTAAGGGGAATCTATTCTCCCCATTTCCAAACCCTGATATGAATGGGCGCTGACATGTGGAGAGAATAGATATTTGTATGTTTGTAATGTGTGTTTTAGATAAATAGGATTGGGTATTTAAATTAGCATATTTGTGAATTTAATAGCATTAAGATTACCATCCAATGAAAATCTCAAAATTTCTATTTAGTTTTTGTGCATTTTCTTCCAAAATATAATCATATGATTTTAGTGTGTTAGATTTGCTGAGTCCTAGCTGTGTTTAGAACATCTTCATTCTACATTTACCTTGGTCACATTTGAACTTCTGCCATAGTTTTTGGGTATAAAGAATGTCTACTGCCCACTATTTAAATTCTGGGAAGGGATAGTGGGCGTTTTCCCTCTTCCTCCTACTTTATGAAGACAGTTCTTAAGAACGTTTCAAAATAGAGGACCACTAAGCCTGCTATGTCGGAGGAAATTAGTGGGTACTTTTTTTTTTTCCTTTTTAAAAGCACAAGAGGCCCATAAATATCTTATTTTCCTTGGTTTAATTTTTTTTTTTCTCTATACACACTTTCAGAGCAAGAGAATAAAAATCATGCGTTATTTAAACCCTTAACTGGCTGGCATGCTTTCTGGTTTGTACCCTATACATTTTGCTGGAGGAAACCAAGAACAGTCCTAGGTATAATTGTTTAAAATAACTTACTGCAGCAGAAATGTAGCATAGTTGCTTAGTACACTTGGGTGATCTGGAGTTCCTAAATTCCCAACGAACACATTGTTACTTCTTGTGTATATTTCAACCTAAATCATGTTGATGTGAGTTATCAATTTTTTTGGAAGGCCCTGGTTGAGAAGTTTTAGATAATAAGGTCATATATATGTAAATATAAACCAATGTCTACTGTTTTGCGCCAGCTAGTGCTTACAATTTCATTCGAGCCCTAAGTATGTGCCCTGCTGTTATTCTTTCTTTGGCAGTTGAACGTTGAATTCGAGATTTCATATTTTTGTTTTAAGAAGTACTAAGCAAAACAAGCAATAAAAAGGGGAATGGGGCGTGCTAGTGTTTGAATATGCTCTCTTGTTGCTTCTAATTCTGTGCCTCTGTGCATTATTAATATTTGGGTGCATGCAATGCCAGCATGGAAATTGGTCTTCACACATACTGCAGTTTTCCAGAAACACTCACAAACGAATAAATGTAACAGACATTCCATTTGTTAATGGGCATACATGTGAATAAGCAGTGTAGAAAATAGGCTAATATTAGAAAATGGTTAAGTACTTAAAACAACTTCAAGTGTGGTTATATAAATGGACACTGTCAATGTTCATAATTTCAACCTGGGTACCTGGTCAAAATGCTTGGGGAAACATTTTATTAAAATTAAGCTAAATTGAAAAAAAAAAAAAGAGTTAAACTTTTTTAAATGTTAAAGATTTATGTCTACTAATATTGATAATATTCCATTATCATGTCAATTTAGAATGTTAAATTACAACAACATATGCACAATATAATCCCTTTTCTTGTGCAAACAAAATTACCCAATATACATTTCTCCTGAAAAGAACCTAGAAGAATACAACCTAAGTGCTAACAGTGGTTATCTCCAAGTCAGGAGCAATATATATCTTTTATATATTTGTTTTATTTGTGCAATAAGCATATAAATTGTTTCATAATTTAAAAAAAATTAAAAATCAACTTCATTTTATAATAAAAGAAGAACATAGCAATCTTCCACACAGTTATTCAAAAAAATTATATATAAAATAAAACTGAATAAAAAGCACACAGCAGAGACGTAAGTGAATCTGAAAGAAGGAGACAGGGAAACTTTAACATTTGAACTAAAATTTGACAGTTAAGGAAGAAAAAATATTCAGGGCAGAGGGTAAAACAAAAAACATGACATAGTCAAAAAAACAGGTTAAACACATACTAAATATAAGTTAAAATCAAAGTAGTAAAAACCAGCAAAGTTAACTGCTAGGCTAGTAAGTTCAGACATTGTTTCAAAACTTACTAGAAATTATTAAAATCTGTTTAGTAATAGTGTGAAAAGCATATATTTTTTTTTATTGTGATAGCACTGTTTGGAGCACAGGGTAAAAATAGGCAGATTGTCTGCCTTTAGAATAACTCAGACCAAAGAGGATAAAATACTGAGCTAAAGGGATAGAGAAAAAGGATCAAACCCAAGAATCATTCTGAAGTTGATGACACAGGATGTGATTAATAACTAGAAGTGGAAAAGGGGAAGAGGGATGATTATTCTGAGATTTCTAGTTTGGATGACCAGTTGGATGGTGTTAGGAAAGAGAATACATGAGAAAAGAAAATCATAAGGAGCAAAGGAGACTCCTAAATAGTTGACTAACAAAACAAGAAACATTTCTCTTCAGGAAACTGATTGTACTGTAACAAGATTTGTTTCCTTTAATTTCTTACATGGATTGGGCACCTACGTCATATCTTGGTTTTCTCTGTGTACTTTTCTCGCTGATACAAAATTTTTTGTTTACCCATGAGTAATTAGTCTAACTTGTCTGTATAAAAAAGTATCAATGCACCCACTGGAAAACAGAAAGGACCATGTATCTCTAATGAAAGAAAAGGAAAAGTTTAGGCTAAAATATTAATAAACTTCAAACTAAGATTATACAGAGAAATAATTATGTATAAATCTTAACTATTTTCTAAATTGTTTAGGGATAAAAGAGTTTATCGTATCTTTACATTTTATAGGAAATGTCTACATATTTTCCTTATGTGACTTTCTATAAGGAGTGAAGTATTTTAGTATTTTATAGATTGATTCTTTCTCCTGATTCTTACTTTCTCCTTTTAGTTGAGCTTCTTTGTCTGAATGGAGTGGACATACAAACACCTCAATCAAAAGACTGGCAGAATTAAAGGACAGTGTCTGATCGATTTTCCTATTAACAACCTATTTCCAAAGCCCAAATTAATAAAGTATTAATACATAGCAATTATGATATTTAAAAAACTCCAAAGGAATGTTATGTATATAAAATGCAAGAGAGAACTTGAATTCTAACTCCTGGATAATAGTTTCCTATTGATAGAAGCAAACAAAGAATAAGAACAAATTTGATTATATGAAAAATTTGCATTGAAAAAGATCATTTTCGAAGCTGTATAGAAAATGGAATTGCCCAGAGTGGTGGTGTACATCTGTGTGCCTGTTGCTAGGGAGGCTGAGGAAAGAGGATCACTTGAGCCCATGACTTTCAAGCCAGCCTGGGCAACATAGTGAGACCCAGACATAGTGAGACACAGTGAGTTTCCAAAATAAAAATTGAAGCTTTTCTATCTAAAAGTAAAACTGAACAGATAAAAAATTTAAGTAAAATATAAAGGAAAAGAAATGCTTAATAGGAAAAGGGATATTATCTTTATCAAAAATAAATGCTCATACAAAAGAAAAATAAAATATGTCACAAAAATGTTCATACTCTGTTATCATAAAATTCTATTTGGGGGACTCTATCCTAGCGAAGTAATCCAAATCATAAAAAAATGCTACATGAAAAGCTGCCCATCCTATATAATAAAACTAAAAACAACATGAACAACCAAAAATAAAAGAAATTAAGTAAATAATGGTAATTATCATTGAAAAAAATTAAACTTGTAATATTATAATTACTTATATGTTGCATTGTTACAAGTAATGACAGCTTATAAAATATAAATAATATAGTGAATAAATGCATTAAACAAATATATGAAAATGACATTAAAAATAAGAAGCAAATTAAGATAAAGTCAAAAGAACAAAAATGTACAAAGTGCAGCTTATGAAAGCTGAAATATAACATGGGATGTCCTTATACTTAGTGTTCAATGAAATTATCATAGTATAAAAATTCAATGTGACCAGTATTTTTTTCCTTTAAAAATTAATAGAAAATGACCAAAATTAATAGAAATTGACATACACACAGCCTTTTATTATATAAGCCTTTTCCTTATGTTTTTTACAATTTGATGATGTACTTATATTCATTTTATAACAAAAACATTTTTATTTAAGAACACTTTTAAATAAAAACTAATGTCACAGGAATGTAATTTAGAATTTCTTGAGGACTAACTTTATGGACAAAAACAAAAACAATACCATACCTTCAACAAAAGTTTTAATACCTGTTCTGACAGTACATAGGAGAATTTAAATTCTAAGTAATGCTTTCTTTCCACTCTCATATCACATATCATGAAATATTTCATAAAGAACTGATAACTGCTAGATAATTAACATGATAGCTATAAATCTGCTTTGCTTTTAAGAAGAAAAGCATAGTACAAGGAAGTGAAGAAGCTTTCAAAGAATAATGAATAATGTGGTAGGAAAAGCTGTGACTAAATACTGGTCTTTTGATCCTGGTTTAGTATTAAATCTCTTGAGATATTATACTACTTTACAGTGGCATTGTATACAAGAAAAGGCATCAAATGAAATGATTCAATGTAGAAATTTAAAGTCTACTAAAACAAAGACAGCATTAACTTCTGGTAAAAATAAAAATAATGCTGATGATCATTAGCTTCCTACTGCCAGCAGCAAGAGCTTTTAATTGTGGAACAGCTGGGCAGTGACTAAATGACCAAAGTAAACATAGGCAAGCTAACACAATCCATCATTTACAATAAAAGCCCTTTTGGCATTGAAATCAAGGCACAAGTATTATTGCAAATAAATGCAGGATGGTATATAACAGAGAAATTCACCTTTTCAAAAGCAATAATTATTATACTAACTACAACAGGGACAGATAGGTTATACAAAAGTTCATGAACTGAACAATTTGAAGGAAGAGAATTATGATGTTATATTGAAGAGAGAATAGTTAGATTTTGTTGCTTGTCATTAAAATATACAGATCATTTCATAAGACTTCCAACTAGTTTCCACATTATAAAGTTAGAGCAAAGAAAAAATAAATGATTCTAATGATTTTTAATAAGTGAGATACAGAAACATAAGAGACTAAATAATACTACATCTGTTGTAACATGCCTATTTAACTTAATAGAAAATTTAGCCCTCAAGAATAATGAATAGGCCGGGCGCGGTGGCTCACGCCTGTAATCCTAGCACTTTGGGAGGCCGAGGCGGGCGGATCGCTCAAGGTCAGGAGTTCGAAACCAGCCTGAGCGAGACCCCGTCTCTACCAAAAATAGAAAGAAATTAATTGACCAACTAAAAATATATATACAAAAAATTAGCCGGGCATGGTGGCGCATGCCTGTAGTCCCAGCTACTCGGGAGGCTGAGGCAGTAGGATCGCTGAGCCCAGGAGATTGAGGTTTCTGTGAGTCAGGCTGACGCCACGGCACTCACTCTAGCCTGGGCAACAAAGCGAGACTCTGTCTCAAAAAAAAAAAAAAAAGAATAATGAATAATCAGCACACAAAAGTAAATAAAATCAAGTATATGAAAAGTAAGGAGAACAATGTTTGTTGGGAGATGCTAATATAATAACTATTAAATATAAATGTGAGAAATTTAATAGAAAATATTAAAAATATAAACTTCATATTTTCTGACATTCCTTAAAAACCTAAGTGACTAACCAAGGTATGATATTTTTCATATTACATAAAGTTAATTCCTAACAAGTCTGGCAATCTATGTTCAGCCTAAATATGTCATGGTAACAGTATAGTAACTACTGGTCCTAAAGATTTATTCCTAATTTCTAATTTAAACATGATTGATCAACTATTATATTTCAAAAATATATCTATTACTAAAGACATTTTAATATTTGCTATAAATGTTGACTTTGAAAAGAATATATAAAGAACTCTCAAAACTCAATAATGAGAATGCAATTCAATAAAAAATGGGGTAAAACGATTAATAAAAATGTTACCAAAAGAAATATAGATAGCAAGGCCTGGTGTTGTGGCTCAAGCCTGTAATCCTCCTACTTTGGAAGGTTATGGTGAGAGGATTGCTTTAGGCCAGTAGTACAAGACCAGGATGAATAAGAACGAGATCCCGTCTCTACAGAAAATA